TGCAAAATTCTATTCTAATGATTAAGGCCCCCACATTATATAATGTATTTGTAAAGAGGTGTTTCTAGGCTTTTCCTTATCGGTCTTTCATGTCACGGCTTCGCACGGTCCACTGCCTGGGGGTGCATAGGACCCTTAACCCTAAACCAAAAATCCCTAATTGAGACCTCCAAAACTCCAAAACCGTAAGATTCAGTGCCTGGGGTTGTTGCGTGCAGGTCTGGGGCCGGCCTTCTCAGATGTTACTGGGTTTGGGGCTTCGGGTATTTAGTGTTTATGATTTAGGGTTTGGGGTTTAGTGTTTATGGTTTAGGGTTGAAGTTTAGGGCCCGCCAAAGACCATAAACGTTACGTGGCCTGGGATTCGGCACGAAGAGTTTAACTTGTTTTGGAACACGGGTTCGACTGCTGGCATGGTCAGAAAGGTGGCCAACATTTATCCACAAACCCTCAGCCAACTCTAACCCTAAGGGTCCATGTACCCAAATACTAGAACATTGGCCTTAATGTAGTCCCTATATAAGTACTTTGGGGCCAATGTTCTACTATTTGGGTACATGGACCCTTAGGGTAAAGCAGTTTGCAAGGATCCCGTCGGACTTCTGCCGTGCTCTTCGGAATGATTTGTAGCTTCGCAAGTCCTAAACCCTAAAGCCCTAAACCCTAAACGTTCGTTGGTACTTGTAAGACGCTGGGTCAGGATGGCCGTCATGAAGGAGACGGTGTCGGCCAAGAACACTCGCAACGATGCCGGGCTACAGTCCTTAATGCCGATGCCTTAGTGTCTGACTCACTTCTTAAGGACCCTGTTGGTGTGCAAGCCGACCCTCGTCACTTGCCCGTACTTGGTCCTGGTGGGGCTTGTCTCGGTGGTGTTGCTGGTAATCGCGGGAGTGGCGGCGGTGGTGGGGGTGCATTGTGACGGTCGCTGTGGAGGTTCCACAGAACCACACGCATTCTAGCCATCCAGCGACGGTTTCATTCGTGGTGCAAGACCATGTCAGCTTGAAGCCACAAAAGCTTCGTCCAGCATGTGTGTCCGGCGTCTTTCCCATGATGTAAATTCAGACGGCTGCGTGCTGGACTCCTGAATCTTGCCTCAGCAGCACAGCCATCCGTGCAGTAGGTACTGAATTGTAGGATGCTTCTGGGTTCAGTGAACACGAATCCCCTCTCTAGGGAACTCGACTTCTTGGGCAACGCACCGGCCACCTTTAGCTTCTTGAAGCGCGCGCCTGTATCTGAGGCTCGTACAACCTCAATTATTACAGTAGAAGCCCAAAAGTTGGAAACCCCATAGCCTCAATCCTCAAAAGTAGTGTATAAGGAATCCCATCACTATTTGTCCTGAATCCGTTTTCCAACTTTTTGGGGTTTGCTATACGTTCTGAAGAGCTGAAGCCTCAAATCGGCCCGTTCTTTGTGCCAAGGTCCAAGCAGCACGCGCAGGCAAGGACTTGTTGAACTTGCACACGGTGTTTTGGACTTGAGCACTTCAAGGCCCCAGACTATAGACTCGATCTCAACACGTCACTTAAGGCCCTAGTCTCTAGGCACTATTGATTCTATAGATCCCTAGCGAGGTTCCTTCAAAGAAGCTCGGATGCAGCTCCACCCCCAAGCCACAATAATCTGGCAGCAGCTCGAACTAAAACCCCGAACACGCCGATGCTGCTCAAGCCCTATCGTCCTAAACCGGAAAACTTCAAGGCCTTATGCCCTACAAAGGGCCCTTCCAATATCCCTCAACTCAAAAAAAAAGGAATACACCGTAAACTGTAGTAGGATCTCTTATATGACTTAAGATATATTATTCCCGAGAGCCGGGATACCGAAGATCTGAGGTCAAAGAGACGCCTACATGCTAAACTCTAAACCTTACAGATAAACTTGCAGCACTAAGCCCTAAATCCTAAAACCCTGAACCCGGTAAGCCCTAAACCCTAAACCCTAAAGCCCTAAAACCCGGGAAACTCTATAGAACCCTTATAGCACCCCTGAAAGGAACCTTGAAAGGAACCCCTAAAACCCTACACCCGGAAACCTTGTGGGCCTGAGCACACTGCCTGAGCCAGAACCCCTGGAACCTAGGCTTTAGGGTTTAGGGTTAGGGATTAGGGATTAGGGTGTAGAGTTTAGGGATGAGGATTAGGGTTTAGGAATTAGGGATTAGGGAATAGGGTTTAGAAAGTAGGGTTTAGGGATTAGGGTCTAGGGTTCAGGGTTTCGGGTCCTTCCCGGCGAGCCCAGAGGATTCTCGTAAGCAAGGACGAAATGGATCCTAAAAGGGTTTAAGGCTCATATGCCATATAGGGGCTTATAGTGTAAGGGTATCGGGCCCGTACTTCTAAGGCGCGCTTGGTCCTTTAGGTGAGGAATTGAATGCGCCTCAAACCTTAGAGGGCTGCGGCTGCATCTTACAACCCTACATCCTAAACTCTAATCAGCCCTACAGTCCGAACAAGTCTACATACTAAATCCTACTAGAAGGCCTTATAAATCCTAACAAGGTATACTCCGCGAGTAAGAGCTTTTCAACCCTTAACCCTAGCTTTCGGGCTCTCGCCCTAAACTCTAAACCGTCTTCGCCAGGCCACGAAGCTCCTGGTACGCCGAGATCAGGAGGCAGGAGTTTTGGGGGTTAGGGTTCAGGGTTTCGGGTTTAGGGTTCAGGCTTGAACCCTAAGCCCCCACGGGCTTCCTTGAAGGGTTCCTTTGAGGGTTGGGGTTTAAGGCTCTATGTAGGGGTTCCTTGAAGGGTTAGGGCGGAGGGTTTTGGGTTTAGGGTTCTGTTTGGGTTTAGGATTTATGGGGCTCCTTTGAGGTTGTTGGAGGTTTAGGGTTTAGGGTGTAGGCCTAAACCCTAAACAGATCATGGAGCAGGGTTGACGGGGGTTTGACTCGCAATTCAAAGGTGCTGTGCGGATGACCATGTAACGACACAGGGCATACTGTACTCACTTTGATTCATATGGCAGGGCTGGGCTTCAGGGTTTAGGGCCGGGTTTAGGGCATAGGTTTTCCTTGAGCAACCAGGGCACGGACAAAGGGAAATCTACTTATTTCTGGGGTCGTACCCGTTTTCAGAAGATACATTGGTTACTGGGGGAAGGGCTTTGAGCTCTTATTTATCTGGTTTATTTGGAGCCCAGTTAATTCGTTTTGATTTTTCGGTTGTTGTGTAGCAGCACACTTCTGTGCGAAATGACAACTCAGCGCTTTCATCAAATCACCGATCGGATTACGAGTGGATCTGCTGAATCGAAGCGAAAGCAGTTAGAAAAGTCTGTTGGTCAGGGATCTGTGCATCTCGGGTGAAAGCTTTCGTTGTCAGTTTCAATCCGTCGGACAACCATCACAACACACAAGTCAATGTTTTACGTGATCTACTTGAGCAGGAGTTCCGTTGAAGTCCACTGTTCATGGTTCATGGGCGATTCCGCTCCCCTTCAAGTTGCCCAGAAACCTACAAGCAATCTAGAAGCCTTTGGTTGCAGCATGGATCTGAAATCAAGGGACCAAACTATACAAGTGCATGATTGAGGAAACTCTTTTTCATTAAGAGTATTCCTGACTCTAGGTAGCCGCACCGAATCGGCAAGGCACGGAGCGCGGTGGCGGAGAACGCAGTGCTGCGCGAGCGCCTGGTCTACCAGCAGAGGACTCATCTTGGACACGTGAGCCAGCATTGCAATCCTACCGAAGCCCTCGCGAGCAAAAGCTACGGCGTGTAGAAGCAAATACGCATCTAGCTTCCCGTCGGTCCGCATATGTATGTATGTGTATATATATATATACATATGTATACATGTATGTAAAATTAGAAACCTCGTGGCCCTTATTTTTACAAGCATCAGATGGCATCTTATATTCCTGCTATTGGAAGGTACCGAAGCCGTGAACAGAGTTTGGGCTAGAGCGTTGGATCTGTTTCGGGTGGCTCCTTTCAGTAGTCTTGAGACCCCACAAGTCTGGCCCCCCAGTACGTACTAGTTATTGGAATGCTTGGGCTTAGGGTTTGGTTTAAGGCAAAGTTTAGGGCCCAAAACGCTAGATTCACAGCCGCGGACCTGGCAGGAACATCCAAGCGCTGGAGGAGTATGGATCCACCGCCAGCCGAGATCAGTTGCTGCGCGAGCTGCAGGTATGGCTTGTACTCATATGCACTTTACCGATAAACATCCATGTGCCCCCCCCCCCCCCCAGATAACCCGAATCAGAAGCAACACTGATCTTCCAGTTGGACTCCAACAGTACAATTGGCATCAGGGCATTCTATGTCGCCGAAAGAACGTGCTCAAACCGAGACTACCCCCTACAACCTCATAGAAGACCCTCCTGAACCCTCCAAGGCAAGCTTTTTCTTCTGAGGTCCCTCTGCGAGGTCGACACTTCCCCGACTGGAGGGTCTGTGCGGCATGGCCTATCCGAGCTTGATAGAGTTTAGGGTTCAAGGTTCAGGGTGGCGTTCGCGGGTTTGGGAATTAGAGTGTGGGGGCATCGTGTTTCTTAAGGGCTTATATATGCCGGGAAAGCCCGAGACCAGCTATCGACTTTTACATGCAAGGTTATTATAATCATGACAACCGCAATATTCTACCATCGGTGGTATCAGGCGAATGCCAACAACTCAAAGTCGAAACCATGCCTGAAACAAAACAATCCTGCAGCTTGCGCGGGTGGCTGTAGCCCACAAGCCGCCTCCAAAGCCGCAAATGAGCCTGAAACGTCTCAAGCCTCTTTGCGTCTTCCTGGTGCCCTCCCTAAACCCTCCCTCATGGATCCCATACCTAAACCCTAAACCCCTCCCTTATATGGATCCTAAACCTAAACCCTAAACC